TATAGGGCCAGTGATTAATTAGGTTATTGCATCCATAGCTAGAATTGCATGTGTAACCAAGATTTATGTTGCTGCAGCAACATAGAGAGACACAACCGTGCTGAATTTCCTAGATCTTTGAAGTAGGAGTTCTCCTAATCCAAAATGGGATTGAGAATTCCCATCAGCATGTGAAGAGTGTAACTAAGAGGGGCCCTCATTAATAGTCTGAAATCTTGCATATCTGACTCTCAAACTGAGTTGGGTAAGTTCCCGCTGCTCATCAAAGGGTTAGAGAAAATAGGCAGTTGCAAGAGAGAAGACAAAAGGCAGGCCTGTGTCTCGAATTAATCAAGAGCGATTGATCTGAAGACAAATAGGAGCAATGCAGGATTTGACGACTACTGTGAAAAAAGTCTGAACACACTCCCCACTCCCCCCCAGTCATTAGTCAGGATTAAATTTTTCCTATTCATGATGGAAAAGAAAAGCTCCCTAAGGGAGCTGAAATTTCATATAAACACCACTAAAGTTCTCAATTTGGAAAATATTTTAATTTTAATTGCTTTTTTAATCCTGTTTTTTTTTAAATGTTGGAAACTGGGGTTATTAATTTTTGGCTGTTGTCATTTCAACACATGGTTAAATGTATTTATTACGTCAGCAGTGATAGAAAATGTCCAAGCAACATGAGTTTCCTTAAAGCAGTACCCTTTGTCTAAAAGGTTGCAAAATATTAATGGAAAAGGAAGAAATTGGATTACCTTGGAGTCAGGGAACTTTTAGTGAGATATGTAGCTATGAAAATATATGCTATCATACGTTTGTACAATTCCTTTTACCTCCTGGAAAGCTGTAATATTTTAATTTATTTTTTATTTTGCTTTTTTTTTAACAAAGAAGGAAAATGGCAACGTAGGAAAGAGTCAATGGACTATAACCTCTTGACTTTCAAACAGTTTTGTTTATATACCACAGTTACATGTGATGGACTGGTGATCCATTTCCCCGCAAGTTCAGCAGAAATTACACTACAGCTTTCATCCAGTTTTCTCACTTCATAGATCAGCTGCAACAAGGGTCTGTTGTAGTCTCATGAACGAACTTCGATTGCCGGGAAGCACTGAAAGGGAAGAGAATCCTGCTCTTCATTTGTTATCCAAACTGCTTGTTTGCAGGAGGCTGACATTTCTTAAGCCGCATCCAGATTTCAGGGACTTATCAAGACTTGCTGCAGAGTGCCTGAACAGCTGGGTGCCAATTTACTGCACACTCCCTACTCTGCACCAAGTCTCTGCGTGAGCCCTTTGACGGGAGCATAAGCCCAAGAAAAGAAGAATTGAGCATGGAGAAGTATGTCCATAATTACCGCCTTCTGCTCTTCTCTTTGGTGGTCTTATCGGACAGCTTCCAGGTAACTTAAATGAGAACTGGAGCAGATGCCGAAGTGGTGGGATTTCTGGACAGCTTGGATTTTCATTACCTGCTTTGCAAAACAGACTTTGCAATTATCCTGGAAGTTACAATCCAGAAGTTGGATGAAATGAACATTTTCTACAATTCATGTGCAACAGAGACACAGTCTGGTACTTTCAAGGCAAAGAAGTTGTAATGGTTGTTTTCGTTTATAAAGAGAAATAGAGGTATTGAGTTTGGCCTGTAAAGTTGCATAGTTTTAAGTTTCTGATGTTTTCAGTGACATTAGACTAGTGTGAAACTGGTCCAGCTGCAGGTCCAGTCAGACTCCACCGGTTTCTTGCCCTTCGTAAACATTGAAATGAAGAGGTTTATTCTAGGACATTTCCCTGCCGTGCTGCAAAGTAAAACCTGATAGTGTTATGGATCTTGACTGGAAAGTCAAACTGGCAAGTCTAATTTCATCATGTAACTTAATTATCACAAAATATAAATAATCAGCAGGAATGGAATTTGTAATGAAATGGTAAATGAAATAATTTGTATTTTAGTAGACTACTGTTATTCTAAGATTATAACCAAATTATTATCTTGACAATGTTTATTAAGTGTATCTAAAAATAATAACCTTTAATGCAGTGTTGTAATACATGGAAGTCTCTAGCATGTCCTGTAAAGCAGAAGACTCGGTACCAGTCCCAGTGAATGAGAAAGTTAAAGGAAAAACTTAATGGTCTTGTGATTCAGTAGGAAACTAAGCCAAATTTCAGCCCACATTGGAATCCAATAAAGATGTTTTAGGAAAAGTATAATATAACATTATATCAATGGGAAAATTCTTACCGTCTTCTAAGTCAAGTCCAAGTTGGCTTTTGTGTTTAGTTACAATATTCAAATTAACCTTCAGTTTAGACAGCTACTTCTGTAGTTGGCATGAACTGGAATTTCTGTAGCATTTGGAATTCGGTATGAATGATTGAAAACATTCTCTTTTTTTTTTTTTTAAGAACTGCAAAGATTGAACAAAGAGCTTCAAGTGGAAATATAAAAACACTTGGAAACACTGAACCACATAGTAACCAAACATGAAATATAAACTAGAGCAAAGACCATATCAGATGACAAAAGAAAAGAAATGATTGTTAGTCTTTGGAATTTCTACTTATAAATAGAGGATTTCTAGGCAGTTGAACAACAAACTAGAGTACGTTTTGAGGCAGAGAAGAAAGATAGCTGCAGACATGAAACACCCAATTTGTTTTATTTAAGGGTCAAACAAGAAAAGAAGAATGGGCTTTTGACTCTAAGAAATAATTATTTGAAATTACTGCAAATAACCCATCATATCTGACAACATAACTTGAAATGGCATTCTGAGAAAAGTTCTGATTGAGTAGCTTCTGACACATGTAATATCATTTCAAGTCTGTGTTTCAATACTGTCTACTTCTGTTGTTCAGTCTGTTACAGTTTCCCACTCTTTGAGATGACAGTGAAAATGTGCCTACTAGGAATTTACTATACTGTTACTGAATTTACTATACTCTTACTGAATTTTATTTTATTTTATTTTATTTTATTTTCAGCTAGTAAAAGGTGAGCTAATGCATCATAAAAGAAAATTGTGGATTATGCCAGAAAAAAAGAAAGTAAGGATTGTGAAAACATTGAACATAAATGTTTTGAAGAGAGATATTCATAGATACTACATTCAGAATAGACTGTGACAATTGTAACAATTTGGCCTAACCTCTTACATAGCAGAGCACATAAAATCAGTGAAATGGATCAAGTCTTACATACTATTCTTTTAAGCACTCACACACACTTGAAGTACATGAATTTTTTTTTTTATTTTTTTTTGCAGTCACTGGGATTAACCCCCATTTTCTAAATCAAAAAGACTGTGTTTGTAGGACAGGTGTTTTGAAGAGCTCACATTATTTGTTATTATATGTAGTATTTTATTTTAAATCTTTTCTCATAATAACTTGTTTCAACAGTAGAAGTGACAGAAAAAAACATTTTTTATTATGATTCCAAAATGTATATTATTTGAAAATCAAGGAAAGAAAAAGAAGAACCAGTGTGTTTAAAGCCTTTGCTTCTGACATTTTCCAATGCAGCCAAAGGAGTGACTTTCATAATTTCATTTTGATAATATATTGCTTAGTTTCTTGGAAGAAGTTTGGAAACAGGCTTTAATCTCTGCTGAGTGCTTGGACAATTAAATATGTTCTGTTTTAATAATGGGAAGGATTATTTCCTGAATAAACAGGCAGTTTGAATTAGTTTGAAGAATGCCTTAACACTTTGAAATGTAATCTCATCAGCCTCCATCAGATATTAAAGTCTCACCTGGCTGGTGCATGGATGAGGGGAAATCATGAAGGAAGATGTAAGAGTCTGTATAAAGGGATTCAGTGTCTGCATCCACTTGGTGTTTTACATGAGCTTAGGAGTAATATTAAAAGTCTAAGAAACCACTTTTCAAATTAATCACTAAACAAAAATACCTTGCTAAGAAATTAAGATAGCGGAGTAGAAGCAGGGAAATCATGGTTTTGTTCCCGAAAAATTTCAACCAGCCCATCACTTCTAGAGGGTAGATGAACAACAAATAGTTTATGCATGATTTAGGGGCTTTGGTTTCAGGGTCCAGGCCCTATTTCAAATAACACACTACTCAGCTACAACTGGAAAGTCTATTCTTAGCTTCTTGTTCTTAATCATTCTGCACTTCTGAATACAGGCTCTGTTTTGCACCAGATAAGCTTTTACTACATTGGTGAACTTACTTAGGAATGTGCATATTATTGAATAGGCACATGCAGTTGTATAATGCTCCTCAGGCAAGATGATACATTCAAATTTTTTATTGACTTTTCATGAAATAAAATCAGATCCTTTGAGTAAAGACCATTTTATAACAGAATCCACCTTGAATACTGTGTTCCACCTCAAATCCTGTGTTCAGTTTTGGGCCCCTCACTACGAGAAAGACATTGAGGTGCTGGAGCGTGTGCAGAGAAGGACAACAGAGCTGGTGAGGGGCCTGGAGCACAAGTCTTGTGAGGAGCGGCTGAGGGAACTGGGGCTGTTTAGTCTAGAAAAGAGGAGGCTGAGGGGAGACCTTATCGCTCTCTACAACTACCTGAAAGGAGGTGTAGCGAGGTGGGTGTCAGTCTCTTCTCCCAAGTAACAAGCGATAGGACAAGAGGAAACGGCCTCAAGTTGCACCAGGGGAGGTTTAGATTGGATATTAGGAAAAATTTCTTCACTGAAGGGGTTGTCAAGCACTGGAACAGGCTGCCCAGGGAAGTGGTTGAGTCACCATCCCTGGAGGTAGATGTGGTGCTTAGGGACATGGTTTAGTGGTGGACTTGGCAGTGTCAGGTTTGCAGTTGGACTCAATGATCTTAAAGGTCTTTTCCAACCTAAATGACTCTATGATTCTATAAACATGATGGCTGTTAGATGGGTGTAATTATTTTATGAATGTAAACTTACAAGGTCCTGAATTACGCATCCCTATGAAATATAAAGTCTACACTACAACAATTTGTGTTTTGTTGTACATAAGCTTTCTTCATTATGTTTTCAGGATGGAACATGAGGCTACCCAGTTAGAAAAGCAGCACGTGCATAGTGTATATGAAAATACAGCTGCCTACTTTAATGACCTGCAGAGCAAAGCATGGCCTCGTGTTCGAAACTTTCTTCTGGAGCAGAAGCCTGGCAGTCTTGTTGCTGATATAGGTAAGCCATTCTTTGAGGTGGCATGAAAGATTGTTTATAAGCTTTATTAATTTATATGTTAACCATATGTATCCTGGAAAGCAAGTGTTTTTAAAACTTGTTTAAATTTGTTTTAAAATTGTTTTAAAATTGTTTTTAAACCCATATTAGATGCCATATACCACTTGTTTTATTTCTTTGACAGTGTATCAGGTAGCCAGTAAATACATTTTTTGCCTTATTTTTGTTGAGCTAAGCCTTAATCTATCAGTTTCCCCGCAGGCTTAGTGGTCTGTCATTCCCCTGGAGCACTTTTTAAAAAACAGTGTTAATAGCTCAATTATTTCATATTTCAGTTTCTTTAGATCTCTTGGTTTAAGTACTGCTGGTCTGCAATTTATTGCTTTTCATTTGTTCTAAGACTTCTCCTATCAAGACTTTATCTTAGGAGAAATCTTCTGATGTGATTGCTATTAAAAAAACAAATAAAAATTACAATCTGAGACTCTCCCTATGATCCTGAATACGGACACCAAACCCTAATTTTCCTGCTATGGCATTGTCTTCCCTACATGTTCAATTTATACCTTGATTTTCTGTTGCACCTACAGACTTTTTAGGGGTTTCCAGGTCCTGGTGTGTTTGCTTTGTTTGTGTTATGACTTCAGTCCTATACAGCACATCATTGCAAACCAGATGCTCCTTTGCACCATTGGATTTTCCTCACTGTTTAGACTGACAGAATGCTTTTACACAGCAAAATGCAATAAATCATGCATCTGCCTTATCCTATAAGAGAAAAACATTATTTGAAGATGTTGTAGGCCATAATCAAAAGATAATATATAGTTCTCCTGCTGCTGTTGAGCAGTACCCCAAAAATACTTGATTGCTGTTATTTTGAATATGTACCTTCTTTTATATGTCTGCACTATTTTCACTAATAGTCTCAGGAAATATCCTATGGCATACACTCATTCAACGGTCAGCTTAACATTTCTCAGCCAAAATTTTTTGTACTTCAGCAGAAGTTGTTTGAAGCTTAGCTGAAGTTCTTTGAGGCTTTATCAGGGGGTATCACAGTGGTTGCTGAAAGCTTAAGATCACCTTGTTACAGTTTCAGCTGAAATAATTTAAATGCATGTGATACATCTGGAGAGTAGGTAGAGGCTTACAGTTGCCAATAAGAATATTCCGATCAAGGCACACAAGGTACCTCCTTTTATGAGGTTTAATAAGACCTACAGGAATCTGACTATTGTGTTTATTTTCAGTATGTATTTTGGGAGGAGGGTCGCCTAGTGGCACTAAAATTTTCAAAGTGAGATCTTCAATTGATAATTTCCTTTTCTGTTTAATACCACCTTTTATTAAAATATAATTTTGTCTAATTGCCTTATTGTTTTTCATTCATCAAAATAAATGACATTAGCATGGCCATTGTTAACAGCTTCATGAAGGAATCCACCCTCCTGATGGCTCATTTAAAAGTGAATCTCCTGCAAATGTAGATTTTTAGAGTACTGGTGTCACTATTTAGCTTCATTCTAGAGAGGACCCTATACTTCCAAAACCTCACTGTGATTAAAAAACACTTCACCAAAAGCCTTGTATTAAGCAACTGAATCTTCTAAATTAATGTACGTTTGACTAAATGTGTTCCTTCTGCAAACACAGTAACCAATACTTTATACTAATTTTAAAATTTACGCTTTCTAACTAACATGCAGAGCTTCATATTCTATTGCATATATTCCTTGAACTGCATTAACAACATTAATCTTCTCCATTTCTCTCAAGTGTTACTTCAAAGAATAGTGCTTCCTTTCTGCTTTAGCAATATGCTCTTTTTTCACCACTGAAGCATTGTGCTGTTCTCCAACAGTTCCTGTGCTGTCTCTCTAGATAATGGTGCACATTAACATCAACGAGAGCAGCAGCGCTGCAAGAAGCAGTGATGTTTCTAAAGATAACTCCAGGCCTTTAAATTGAATTACCAATACTGAGATGGTTCTCTTTGCCAAGCTGCTACCCCGTTGCTTGGCTGTCAACTTTCAGAAATTATTCTTCACTACTGACCCATAACTGCACTGAATGTTTCCTAATCTAATTTTGAAAAGTGCCTGTTATGCATACGGTATTGAAGAACACTCTGAAAGATTTCAATTTAGTACAGCACAGTCCTTGAGAAGACATACTTTTAGGTGGAAGACATTCTGGAAGAGTTCATTACATTTACATGCGTTATGATGCATTGGCACAAAGACAGAAAGAGGACGTGCCTGTGACATGGCAGGAATTTTTATGATTCACCATTATTTTCAAGTCTGCATCTGAAGTTAAAATTTTCCTCTCTGACTTGTGTCAATGACAGCTGTGGTTTAGGACTTCTTGGAGGGAAATGGGATGCACAGGAGAGGTACTACGTGGGGTTTAGCAAAACTGGGGAAGGACTTGGAAGAGACATCTATTGCAGGTCACTAAAAAGACAAAACACACTGGCTTCAGGAAATCCCCTGAACAGGAAGTAGTTGGAAGCTGGAAGGGTATTGAGGAAAAGGGTCATAATGCTTACCCTGTTCTTACTCTTTCCTGGGCACCCATTAATGCTCTTTGTTGAAAACAGGCTAGCAGGCTCTATAAAGGCTCAGTATGAAGCAGCATGCTTGGTTTTTTGCTCTGAGATAATGCAGTAGTCACTGCAGAGGGCCACTCCTTCTTCCTCCCACCTGCACTTACCCTTATTCCCCAAAGAAATACACATAACCTGCTATTACACAGTATTTTTGTTGGTGATGTTGGTACTGTTACACTCCTAATGGTGTGAACATAAAATTTCCAACGGTCCAAATGAACCCTGCCGCAGTTAGGCTAGTAGAAGCAAGACCTCATTTTGTTTTCCGGGAAACTTTAGGATTAGGAAAGCCCTCCCATTATTTTCACTGCTTTGGGAGGGATAACAAATGTTTGGAACGTATGACTTCTGATCTAGTATACTTTTCTTTAGGTTGTGGAACTGGAAAGTATCTCAGTGTCAACAGTCAGGTATATAATCTCGGCTGTGATTACTGCAGACCATTGGTAGAGATTGCCAGGAAGAAAGAGGATGAAGTTCTGGTATGTGACAACCTTAACCTTCCCTTTAGGGACCAGTGCTTCAATGCAGTCATTTCCATTGGAGGTAAGACAACATACATGCATTCTGGCCCACAGCAAATGAGAATTTTGGGGGATCCTTTTCTTGCCATGTGTCTTCATTTCAGTTAAATTTGTTTTGAAACAATTCCCTTAGAATCACAGCAGATATTACTGAAATGAATGTAGTAAACATGAAGAATACCCCATATTAGTTCCATAGCACAGAGGTGCTGTTGACCAGGGAAGTATGTGGATCATTTGTTTGTTTATATGTGGTCTTGTTCACCCTGAGGAGAAAAGATTTCCTTCCAGCGTGCATTTTAAACAAGTAAAAACTAATATAAACATGGCTGCTCACAGTTTAAACAGATTAGGTGGTCAAGATAAACTCTTGGTTCCTCCTTAGGATCTGTTTTGACCATCAAATGCATTGAAATGAAAACTTGCTTTCTCTATAGCAGAACTTGAAACTCATGTTAACCATTACGTGTTATCAATTCAAATTTCTCTTAGAATAGTAATGAAATAAGAACTTGGAGACATACAAGCGCCTGTTGTCTAAAATGAGTGAAGCATCTCAGCATCTGAACTCCTCTGACCTCTCTTTTTGAAAATACTACTCATAATTTGAGAAGTATAGATGAGGAATAGTCAGAGTACCCAGTTACGGTCTACATTTTTAGCTCTACTCTTGCTTGAACTTCTTTCAGGCTGTTTCACTGTATCAGCAAAAATATAAAGCATGATAATTGTTATTGGTAGCAATCAACAAACTACTTGAAATATGATAGAAATGTATTTTAAATTTATTTTTCACATATGCAGAGTGAAAGAAAGGGTGACTAATATGCAAGCAGTATCTATATTACTTTGCTTTCATGTTTGCTAGTTAACCAGTGACCCCTGTCCACATTTCGTGGTCTTGTAGCATAATTTCAGTGCTATCAGATCAGACGACTTTGAAGGATAGCATAGCTATCTAATGTTTATACCAATTATAGGCCTGAGGAGATTAAAAATTCACATGGTATTTCTGTACATTTAACAATGACGGATTTTAAACCCTCTTGAATAGAGACATGGTATGCCTGTGTCCATCTAATTCTAAATAAAGTGTTTTTCATCCCATTCCAGACAACAGCAAGTATTTATGTACATAGTCAAATACTATTCTTGGCTTTGGTGGTATAATCCTGTTTATAGGATTTACATTTCTGCAGAACCACCGGAGTGATTATGTAATTTTAATAATGAAGAATATTTAACCCATTAAATGAATTGCTTAGATAGAGCTTGCACATATTCTGTTAGTTAATTGGCACTTCTTTCTGGGGAACGAAACTCTCATGCTTATGCTGTCTCTGTTGGTTTTGATATTATTTTGCAGGAGGTTCTGTGGTGATATATGGCCTAACTCCAATATGAGAGAAAATATCAGTTCCTTTCTCCCCATCTTGTTCAAGAAATTGAAATAGTATTTTATATTTTTTTGCAAAGTTCGAGAAAATATTGACAAGAGTCAGGAGTACCTGGAAACAAACACTGACCATATAGACTTGGGAACTCTTCTCAGAGTTTGCTATCTTGTGTTCTCAGCTGCTTGTGAGAGCCTAGTTAATATCCACTGCCAAGAATGCTTTTCATGGCTTGTGGTAAAAAAGCTACATTTTTTCCCCTTGGTAATTTAATCATTGTTTTGAATAAAGACAGGGCTAGTTGGACATGCTTTTCATAACTGCAGTGTTGAAATAACACTATTTCTACAAGCAGAATTGGGTACTGTCAAGCAGCACATAAAAAGATAATCTAATTTTTCTGAAGGTATGGAGATGTCTTCACCTAAGAACATATACTATTACTATGTTGTTATATGGGTAGATTGAATGTTTTGCATGAAGAAGTGGCTGGCTCCAGGTCCACTTGAAACAAATTATGGAATCAGTCTTCTTTATGTCATTGGTTGAATCAAATATAGTACTGATGGCATATAGAACAACATGACCAATCTCAGTACAAGTTAAAGTTTCTGAGAGTTTAGAGACAATAGCTGTCTTAGCTATTCTCTGGCTGTTAAAATTGATTCCTTCAGGCAAATAGGAAGATAGAAACAGTGTAGAAATCTTGAAATGTAGCTTCAATTCACATTGCAGTGAAATTTGAAAATGTTCAAATTATCCTGGAAAGAAAATTCAAATATAGTGATCAACAGTTTTATTTTGAATTTGACTTTTTATTTTTTAATAGCATAACATAATGTAACAAAAAATCATAATTATCAGATATGCAATGTAACTGAGATACTTCTCATTTTTTTTTCCTCCAAAACAATCTATAAAGGCAATACTTTTCTACAAAATTAAAGCAATGGAAAATATTTCTGTACAAATTTTCTCACTAGCTCTTTTGAAAGTGCACTGATATAAAAATACAGAGTATCTTTTTACTGATATTACATTTTGCTGTATTTGTTACATGGTGAAAAGAATTTCTGTTTTCAGTAAGATAAATCTGAAAAATGTCCCCCAAACTAAAGTCAAACTTAATGTTACCTAACTCACCTAAAGGCCAGGCATTTAAGTGAAAGCTAGTCATGCTATGGTCTTTTATGGGTGATGTAGAGAAACAGAAGCCTCCATCTTATATGCCTGACTTTTCTGGAATCCCTATTTTGAAATGAGATTAATTTCCTTCTTTGGGGTTTTCCTATTTTTATCCATTGGACATAAATGTAAAAGAGAGTATTCTGGGGTAAACTTGCACTGTGGTACCAATAAATTCAGCACTGTTGCTGACTTGCAGTGAGTGATATTTGGGATATGGCAACTAAGATTACTAAACACGTAGAACACGTTGAAGACAAAAATGCTATGTCCTTAGTAGTATTCAGTACATAACGCCTGTCCTTCTTCACAGTGATCCATCATTTCTCAACTAAACAAAGAAGAATCAAAGCAATAAAGGAAATGGCAAGGGTATTGATACCCGGAGGCCAGATGATGATTTATGTTTGGGCTATGGAACAAAAGAATCGTCGCTTTGAGAAACAAGACGTATTTGTTCCTTGGAACAAGGCCTTGTGCTCACGGCATTTTTCAGAATCGAATCAATCTGGAGATAAGGGTGAGTTCGTGCACGCTGTAAAAACCCAAGACATACACCCTGCACAGCTAGTCATCTCCGATTGCAGCTACCAAACCAATCTGCAGCCAGAAACTGATTCAAAACATTCCCCCAGTATGGAGCATTGCTTATCCAGAGCCTGCTGCGTGAAAATTTCTGAAGAAGAAAACAGATTTTACAGTGCTCTGGGAAGATCTTTCCGCTCATGGTTTTTCTCCAGATCCCTTGATGAATCAGCCCTGAGAAAGCAAACGGACAAAATGAAGCCTCTGAAGAACGAAGGAGAATGGGCTAGCAGTACCGTACCCATTCAGCATTCGCGACACTGCAGTTTGGATTTAGGTCACCATGGGGCACTGTTGAAAGAACAAAGTTTAGATGATGATGATGTATTCATGGAAAGCCTGCCTCTCAAAAAACCGCAGTGGTCACCAGCCGCAGATTCACTGAAGGATTTAAGTTTAAATGGAGGACACCAAAGTGTAGCTCAGAGCAAGAGTGAAGAAGCTGCATTTATAAACGACCCAGTGGAAAACAGGGACTGCAGCTGCGGTTGTAGTAAAGATGGTGCTGGAAAGTCTAATGCCAGCAAGTTTTTCAAAAGAACTTCAACAACTGACTCCACTGACTCTGCTCTGGATTCAGCAGTGTCTGTTGGGGACCAAACTGATGCCACGTTGGATACAAAAGCCTTCATGCGTTATTATCATGTTTTTCGGGAAGGGGAGCTGTGCTCCCTGGTAGAAGAGAACGTGCCTGAGCTTCAGATACTTTCTTCCTGCTATGACCATGGAAACTGGTGCATTATTGCAGAGAAAAGAGGAACATAGCTGTAAAGAGAACAAAGAGGAATCCAGTGACTGAGGATTTTAAGCTGCTCCTTGTGTTCCTGTGACTGTGCAGTGTGACATGGAACTTGAATCTCATGTAGTCGTGTGCCATTCATTTTTGAGTTATTATCTCTCTATCTATTTAACTATCTAATGCAAGGTCTGTATATAGGAATGTAAGTGGTAAACAATATTTATGTTTTGTTAAACTTTTATGAAGTTAAAACTGGAGAGTTTTATATTGCTTTTAGCAAATAATTGTGTTTTTAAATATAATTTTCTATTGAGAAGTAAAACTTTTTTATAAGACAAGGATCAGGGAATCTTTTATGAGAAATATTCTCTCAGTAGAAAGTTTAGGCTTTGTTCTTCAAACGCTGAAAATGTGTCATATTGCTACCTGTTCTCAAAGTCCTATAAATAGAGATGTAGACACATTTAAAAACGTACTTGACTGTATACTGCTAGAGTGCATGCTGCAGAACTGGAAGCAAGCATGGTCCCAGTACTACTTAGTTTGAATAGAGTTGTTAATGGGCAAAAACTACGTACAAAAAAAGCTCTGCATATTCTGTCATTTGAGGTTTGTGTTTGGGAACAAGTGACAGAACAAATTTTCAACAGTATTTTGGACTTTTGTTTTAAAAAGAATTTGTTTCTCAGGTGCTCGTTAAGTTTTAGCTGTGTTAGCTCTCAAAAATAATTTACCTTAATTTCCTTTGCTGTAGTTTTTCATTGGTTATGTGTATATAGAAGTCAGAGGGAGTCGTGAGAGTACCAGTATTATGTAAAGGTTACAAAATATTAAATATCTGAGATACAGATATCTTTTTGATAACTCTGGGAAGCTAAGATAAAATTAATAAAAATCCAGTGCATATCTGGTCAGCTGTCATATTTGCTGTCCTCATTCATTGACATGAGAATATATATTAAATGGTGTGTTAAATAACATAGATAGGAAGAGGCTACAAGTCCAATTTGAATATAAAATACAAATTTCTGTCTTCTGCAGTTAAAATGAATCTTTTGAGACCTAAATGATAATAGATTGCTTAAACAACTTTCCCATTCCCTGTAAAACACAAATTTTGCTGAACATGGTGCTCCAGCATCATCTAGTTGTACTAGATTGTAGCAGTTGCCCTCACATAGTTCTTTACACCCAATCTCACCCCTTTCAGGGGGAGACCTATTATGTGAAGCTTTATGTGCTGTGGATAAAATCCACCTGGCTTCTGAAGATCAGTAGTGAAATTGTAATTGTTACCAACTGAAGCAGAGTTGGATTGGGCTAATTGCCTTGTTAGCATGAAGTTACTCCATTTTTAGGCTTTATTTACAGTCAGTGGTTTTAGTGTAGGGCACATCTTCAGCTGGTGTGATTTCATGACCTTTAATGGAGCTGCACAGATTCACCCCAGAGATCAACCCTTTTGATACAGCAGTTTTAGAGACCCATGTAATTAAAGTCTGCTCTATTAGTGAGAAAATAACTTTGAATACAAACCAACAGGAGTGAAATACCAAACTTTTCCAGTCTATGCTGCGTAAGTAGATGGATTTGGGGTTGTTTAGTAGAAAGCCCTGATGGTGCTGAGTATTTTTAGATGGAGCTGCCCAGAAGTAATTGCCAGACAGTAATGTATTATAGATTTATTTACTGGAGTGATGCCTGTAGAACAATCATCTTTGTCTTCCTCATATTTTGGGATCCTTATACTTTATCCTTCCTGAGGGTGTACCACCTGTGCTACCCACTGCCTTTTGAAAATAAAAGTGTGGCCAAAGAACCATGCATCTGAGACTTCTGAAATATTATTCCACTCCAAATATTATTTTCAGTACAGCCTGGGACTGCAGTTCTCAGATACTGTGTCCGAGCCATGCTTCAGAAAACTGGCAATATTCCCTGCATTGCTGGGTCCAGCTGCTCATGGCTGAGGGTCTGCTCCTGCTGCATCCTCAAGCCCCAGTTTTAGAAGCACAATGCAAAAATGCCCATGCTGGCATATTGCAGAGACAGTGTGGATCCTGCTGAGCTCCACACCTCATCTGCAACGTGCTTATGTTGGACTGGTGAGGCCTGCCTTATTTGTTGGGAATTTCTGGAGGAGCTTGAGGATTTTAGAAGAAAACTCAGTTGCTTCCAGTTAAGATATGCCAGTGGATATTCAGCACACCTGGAATTTGAACTGTATTTAGGAAGGAGGTAGTTGATTATCATCCTGTACCCAATCTTGAAAGTTCATCCCTGAACTCCAGCATGCAGAAACTCTATTACATATATATAAAAATATTTATAAAATTTTATGAATCTGAACTGACAGCTGGGTTTAGTTAACTGGGCAAAGGAACATCATAATTTTGTTATCTGCACTTCTGCAGTCTATCTGTGGAATATTCACTGTGTAGTCAAGCAGGCTGATAAAATCTGGCATAAATGAAGAAAGGAGAGGCTTCCATTCTCTTTACAACAGAGACTTACTATCCCTGCAAGAGGCTGAATCTATGTTTCAGGCTCCAGTGAAAACTTCCTGCTCGATCAGCTGTACAAATAAGAGCTGTCGCCTCAAAGCCACTGAGCTGCTTTAAACAGCTTTTGTGTTTGTAGACTTTCCATGCATTGTTTGGTTTGAGATTCTTGTCTGGGGATGCTTTTCACGATTATTTATTTCTGTATTGGATTTTCTCTTGTTTTGAGCTGATACCATTAAGTTGTGTTACATAGAAGTTTGGATTGTATTGTTACAAATTCCTGGGAGAAGGAGAGGGGAGGTTTGGTAAACTGCTTTCTTTTCAAATATTCAGTTTTCCTCCAAGGACGTATAATCACCATGTAACATAATTTTTATCAACTGGGGATCAGTCAGCTGAGGTCATGAGCGTGAGGTCTGTACAGCAAGCCTGTATTCCTGTATTCAGTCTCCCATCTATTTATGGAGGCTGCCTAGGTCTGTAACAACTTTATTGGCTCATAACAAGCCAGAATACCTCACTCAGAGCATGGTGAATGTCTCTCTTGATTGGTTTCTCTTTTGATGAGGGCCATCTTGAGCAAAATGTAATTTCCAGAAGAATCCACGTGATCCCAGTCTTTAATAGCTTACAGACATAGTTAATGTGCTCAGAGAAGTGTGTATACCATTGAAAAGTCTGCGGTAAATGAATGAATAAATAAATAAAACCCACTTGTCCTTGCATGCTAAAACTCTCAGCAATGTCCAGACTGTCAGATCTGACTGTTATAAGGTAAAAGGCAAATGTGTTCTTGTATTTCTTGTCTGGCAAGATGGCAGGCAATATTCTCACCTCAGTTATGCTGATAACAAACCTGCTTCTGACTGCAGTGGGCTAGGATTGCTCCTAAGCTGCTCATCTAGCTTTAAGTGGCACAGGGAGAAGTCTTGATTACACAAGAAAAGATGCCCTGTTTTTTTACAGTTTAACTTACTAGTATCATTGTCAGTCTGAACTGGCTAAACAAAAGCTGCTACCTTATTACTCTTACAGACTGTAATCCAGATGGACAATTGCAATAAAAAAGATAAAATCGAACAGACTTATTTTTGAAGGACTAATACAATTGCAATCTTTGATAAATGATGTTTTGTCTTTTTTTTTTAATACATGAAAATATTTATATTAGGAGTGCAGAAGTATCATTTTTTTGGTACTAATGGTGACTAATTTACTTTCTTCCAAGCTTATGGTGTCGGAATTTTAAAAGCACAGGTGAGGAATGAGAGCTATAAATATTCTAGCAGATTTTTTTCTGGTACATTTTTGTATACAAGTTACTTATGTGCACAGTTTAAAATGCTGACTGAAGAGCTGTGTGTGTTCCACCAGCAGAATATTGTTAGTGAACCACCTGGGTTGATTCTGAATAGAAATAATGGCTCTGATCCTGTGTCCTCTCTGCCATGTCATGTCTCTGTCAGACTGTATTCGTATCACTGTTGGGCTATATTAGTATTGACATCGTGTTGAATCTATTGGTCTTCCCACTTTCTTGCTCAGCACTTTTACAGAATTTGTGGCTACTTTAGTACTCCAGGAAAATGAAGTGTGTCAGCGTTAAATATATACAATTGTATATCTCTTTTGTGAGTGCAGCATTTCTTATTCTTACAGTATATGAATTCTGGCAGCTACCTGTGATTTTATCTTCCAGTCTGCTGGTCAAAACCATGCTCTGTAATCAATTCTTTGTCTATACATGGAACCTATTCTCTAGTATTCAACAGAAAATAAATCCTACTTGGTTAAAATATTATTTCGTACAGAACTTCTGTGCTTTCAGATTAGTTAATAAACATATTAGCCACTGGAAACTCTGTGTCTGGGAAAGTTCTTAATGAATGTTAAATTTGAGAAGACTCTGTTAGTGCTGTTTGCTCAGTAAGTTAGACCACATGGACGTGATGCAGAGCAGGTAAGCATAGTGATTTGCTATGAAGCCAGGGAGTCTGTCTTTACTTTAGACAACCATAGTCAACCTAGCCATAAATGTGATCATTTGAACTAGGTAAATAAAGGTGATGAAATGTGGGTTTTAGCCACATTGGTAGTATATGTCCTGTTGATGATGATAGAAAAGCAGGATGGTCAGTGGAATTAACTGCTACAGAGCTACACTTCCCACTCCTTCTGATCTATTTACAGTCATCTAGGACTAAGCTTTGTGGTATAAAATAACATTGAAATATTTCTTTGGGATTACCGACCTTCTTTCTGCACCAATTTAAATCAGAAAAGAAAAAAGAATGTAATTAGAATTATGCAATTGCCTGGTGAGGTTACAGCTATACTGTGTTAACAGTTTTTACAGTTGCAGTGATTGTTTATTGTGTTTGTACAATTACAGTGATCACTTATTGTACTGATATGTTTATTATAGTAATGACTAAGGACCTAGGAGTAATTAAGCACTATCCAGATGAGTATTAATACATGCCCAGTAGTACAGAGTATGTAACCTAATGGTATTTAGATTATGGGAAAGTAGTATTAGCACAGGCTGGACAATAGGGTGGTAACAAATGTAATTTCAGGGTGATATGGAATGGTCTTTATGAAGAAGGAATTAATTAAATCTGACACAGTGTTGAGAAAGGCTAAGGAAAAAGAGCAAAGATAGGAAGTATACAGAGAAAGGAAGGGGAATGCCAAAGATGGGAGCAATCACAGCAGAGAAAGGACAGTCAGCACTGCTGGATTTTCTTAGCATATGCAGAAGTCCCTGTTTTGACTGCTCGTACTTTCTGGAGGGTCTAGTTGCTATCTCCCTGCTGACTTACTTCACAAGCATGTGCAGAGGCAGGAAGGCACCTTTTTCCTACCACTTGGAGTTCAGTACTCTTTCCTGTACACTTCTAGGCATATGCAGAGGAAGATTGGCTAGGGATAACTTTTTTTTTCCTTCCTTTATATCTCCATCACTTCATTGCAGCATGTTCTGTTTTGATTCCTTTTATTCTTGCTCAGTGCTTCAGTTCGCTCTGGTTGATTTGACCTTGCTCAAGTACGCCCACAATCTGGGGTTGTATTTGTTTTACCTAGTTACCACTTCTACCAATATAGCTGCACTGGTACAAGCTTTGCATGTAGAAAGGGTTGTATGGATAGATTAAATAAATATTAAG